TAATAATATTCGGAAATTCAGAAAACAGCAATTTGCTGACATTGTCTGATAGTACAAATTCTGTATACAATTTGTTGCCTTTTTGTCGACAGTTCTGGGTAGTAAAACTCCACGAGTTTTAACGAAAGTTAACGCTCGAAGCGCTAGGACCAACGGTTTAAGAGATACCGTAATTTTTTGAATGTCTGATTCTGTTACATCTGAGGGACAAACGTTTTTTTAATATTACAGCAATTCTGTTGAGAGTTCTGGATAGCCCCAAGAGTTCTATCTATAAAAGTTATTATCATTTAAGACACTAGTATTAATGATTTAGAAGATATCGTGATTTTTCGTTCGTTTTGTGAAATTAGCACCCCAAATTAAAAAATTTTTTTTTTTTATGTTAATTCGCTAGAACTATTCTTAATTTTGGGCAGGAACTCCAAAACTCTTCGGGGTGCATTCGGAACTGTGATCAAAATTTCATTGTTTGAAAAAGAGATGCCAACTTCACAGAGATGTTATCGATCTCTATTTGTTTATGATTTGATACGTAACGAAAGGAAACGAAATTATACTACATTTGTTAACTAAGCTAGAAAATAATAATGATTTATTCGATTTCGATTTCGATTTCGATTTCTATTTGTTTATAACTTAATATTTAACAAAAATCTATGCGATTTCGATATTTAGTAAAAGGAGATGGAAATGAAATTTTATATAATACTTCGGTTTGATCAGGATAAGTAAGAAAGAAACGTAAACTGAAAGATATTAGATAATTATTAAAGTTGACTATTTACTTTAAGGTGAAAATAATATATATGTTCAAGGTGCGTCACTAAAATCCGGACAAATTTCAATTTAAATTTTTCGCTATATTATGCCAGAAGTTGTTATTGATGTCCGAGAAAGCCTGATGCTTCTAGTAAACAGTCATATTCTCAAAATGGCGATATTGAAACCAAGGAGTATAATCGAAGAGTCGCGATCATCGAAGGCGCTGGGTGCTCAGCAATGGAAATAACTCGGTTTTTTGGATACCCGAGATCAACTGTTTATGATGTTGTGACAAAATATACGGCTTTAACAGTCCAACGAAGGTTCCAATATGCCAGTGAGGAAGAGTCACTCAAAAGAACGCACCGCGAGGATCCCCGCAGTCGCTGAAAAGGCTCAAGCGTTGATTTCGGATGACCCAGGGCAATCGTTGCGAAAATTAGCATCGATTATTGGTGTAAGCGAGCGAACAATCGTCGAAATGCGGAGGATCTTCGATACAAATCGTACACATTAAAGATACGACAAATGCTCCTTGAGGCTGCCAGGACAAACCGAATTGCTCGCCTCGGCTCCCATTCTGGCCTCCTAACAGCTCGGATTTAAATACCAGGTGTATAAGCTTAAATCCGCTGTTTGCTAGGTGGCATTAATGAGCGTACAAAGCTACCCTGGGCACACTTTTTTTTATGTGTTTGACATCTGTCAACATTAACCACATCATCAGCAATTTCATACAACAACATACATTTTTTTCTTTGGTAATCATGTCTAATTTTTTGTTTAAAAAAAAGCATATGCGGGAAGCTTTTCTGTTTCAATTTGAAGAAATCGGCTGCCGAATCGCATCGAATGCTTGTGGAAGCTTATGGCGATAATGCTTTATCGGAAACAACGTGCAGAGATTGGTTTCGCCAGTTCAATGACGACAATTTTGACCTGAGTGACAAAAAGTGTGAAAATCGGCCCAGGAAGATTGAGGATTGTCAATTGCAGGCTCTTTTGGACGAAGACGATACCCAATCGCAAAAAATGCTTGCCGAGCAATTGGGTATTTCTCAAGCAGCCATTTCCATGCGGCTACATGCCATGGGGAAGGTTCAAAAGATCGGAAAATAGGTGCCGCATGAACTGAACGATAGGCAGATGGAGCGACGCCAAATTCTGCTTGCCAGACAAAAAAAAAGTCGTTCCTGCATCGGATTGTGACAGGCGATGAAAAGTGGATCTATTTTCAGAATCCTAAACGCAAGAAATCTTGGGTTGATCCCGTCCAACCATCAACATCTTCCTCAAGACCAAATCGCTTCGGATGGAAGACGATGCTGTGCGTTTGATCAGGAAGGTGTCATCTACTACGAGCTGTTAAAAAACCTAGTGAAACTGTTAATGCTCACTGCTACCACCAACAACTGATCAAATTGCACCATACTCTGAAAAAAGGCTGCATTATCGGAAAAGACATGACAAGCTAATTTTCCTCCACGACAACGCACCATCGCACACGTCAACAATGATCCAAAACTACTTGGAGACACTCAACTGGAAAGTGCTACCCCATCCCGCTTACTCACCAGACCTGGCCCTTCTGACTATCACTTGTTTTCGATGTCACTTGTCGTCGATGGGCCACGCGCTCACTGAGCGGCACTTCGATTCTTACGAAGACGTCCGAAAATGGCTTGATGAGTGGTTTGCCCTGAAAGATGAGGAATTTTTTTGGCGTGGTATATACAAATTACCCGAAAGATGAGAAAAATTTATAATTAGCGAGGGCAAGTACTTTGAATAAATTTGTTTTGTTCCTAGGAAAAAAAATGTGTTTTTCTGACTAAAAAATAGCCGCTTTAAGCTTATACACCTGACTTATACATATCCTTTCCTAACTCCTTTTTTTTCACTACCTTTTCTCTTTCTTTCCATAATTTTTTCAGCACTCTTCCTTTTGTCTAAGTCCTTTCATATTTTTCTTATCTCATCATCACCCATCCCTAACCTTTCAAAGCTTCTTGCTATTTCCTTACATTCATTAACATAACGTTCTAAATTATTTTCACTGCGTTAGAAAAAAGACCTTTCCTTTTCTTTTCCTAATCAGTATTTATTTTTTTCCTCGGATTCCCGCATCTTAATTTAATTAATGCTCTGACTTCATCCTCTCTTCTCATTTCCATATTCTTACTCCTCAAATAATTTGGTAACTTATTCTCAATTCCTATCTTTTTATATTTCTTGTTATACTTTGTCCTATCGATTCTTTCCCTTTCTCATTGCCTCTGTAAATCTCTTTCCCTATTTATTAAATTTTATGTGAATTTTTCTTGGCCATGATCTATCACTTCTCTAAATTCTATTCCCCATCCATTTCTGTTATAATACTTCTTTCTCTTCACATTATGTTTATTGTTCCAATCGAATTTTTATTTTTCCTCCTAATACTCTCTGACTAGATTACCAATATTTCCAGATTTAATCTTTTTCTCATACCTTCTTGTCCTTAAATTCCATCCCCTCTCCTTAAGTTTATCCATTACCAACTCACTCATAATTATGTACCTTGGAGTGCAAAAATCTAAATTAAAAATCCACTTCACATAATCCAACATTTTTTCTAACTCACCCTTTTTCTCCCAATCCCTCTACTTCATATGCTATTACACTCTGTGTTAAATATTTAAATAGCATCCCTCTCTTACTAAAATCGTACATATCCTTATATATGCTTTCCTCCAATCCTTATATCTCTCTTGCAACCATTTTTTCTTTGTTATTTAACTTTTTAATATGATTTTTGTAATTCCTCTTCCTATCTAAAATAAAACATAAATATTTAAATTCTTTGCCCTTATCTAGCTTCTTATTTCCCCATTTCCATTTCTCTTTCTTCCTTCCATAAATCATTATTTTCTTTTATATACACAGTTCCAGTTTCCTCTCCTCCAAGAATTTTCTGAACGTGCACATCATATCTCGCAACGCTTCCTTAAATATTAGCCGTCAAAATTAAGCCATCCGCATGCTAACGACCAGTCCCTGCTTAGTTCAATGCCTCCTATCCTCTTTTTCTCTAAATTATTATCCGCATTATATACGTTGAACAAAAGTGGACTCATCACACAGCCCTGCCTTACTTCTTTCATTATCCTGAATTGTTTCGTGTATCTTTGTTTCGACCTTATTCTCCATCTCTGCATACATCTTCTCTATCTTCCTTACCAAGTATTCACTTACTCCTTTGTCTCTTAGAATTTCTTATAGCTTATCTCTATCCATCTTATCGAAGGCAGCCTTTAAATTCGCAAACAACATATATATGGTACTTTTTTCTTGCCTTCTTCCTGATTCCTTTCTTTCTATCAAGTATGTCAGTATGAAAATATTATCCAACGTCTTCTTCTAAATCCAGCTTGATTATCCGGAATCATATCTTTTGTTTCCATTTCTTTTTCCAATCTATACCTTAATCTCTGCATATATTTTATACGCCGTGCGCAATAACGAGGTTTCTCTATAATTCGTTACTCTCTCTTTGTCTCCTCTTTTATATAATGTATGTACAGTTATATTGTCCTTCCAATCTTGCGGCATCGTGCCTACTCTCCACATTTTTTGTAATAGACATACCAACTTTGATCTTAACCCTCGCTTGCATATAACCGCTTGCATATACTTCCGTAGGTATCCTATCAATTTCTGTCGCCTTATTTTTTATTTTAAACAACGCTTTATTTATCTCTTCAGCTTTCAATTCTTCTCTCTTTCCTTCATTTTTTTCTTTTTCTTACATTATATGGTAGATCTATTCATGTCTTGTTCTTGTGTACTTCAATTTCATCATCTTCAATTCCTTCCAATAGCTTTAAAATATTTTCTCCATTTCTCATTCTTTATATAATATTATTCTCTTTCCATACTTTCTTATTTCTTTTCTTATTTATATACTTCCATATATTCGCCTCCTTCTTCAGCTTTTTCAGTTTCTTTTCTTTTACTTTCTTTTTTTCTTTTTGCTTTTTCTCTATATATATAATAAATCTCTATGTAACAAAGCTCCTCTTCTCCAGATATTTTTCCTTTTCTCTTTTTATAATACCTTTCTTCCATTTTTTGTATATCCTCTTCACCTTTCTTTTCTTCCAACTGATATTCCATGGTGCAACTGATATTCTATCAATCTTCTATCAATCTCTTCTTTCTTTTTATTTTCTTCTTTACTACATTATTGAATACAATCTATTTAATTTCCTCTCACATGACTTCTATTTCCTTATTTTTATTTTCCTTGCATTATTTAGCATCTCTCTGTAACTCTCTATTCTATATAATAATTTCTTTTTCCTTGGTGATGTATTTCTCTTCATTTCGATTCTCTTTAGCACTGTTTTCTTCTAGCCCGAATGCGCTTCTTTCTTCCAATGTCATGCACAGAGGCATGTGCATTTGAGTCCATTCTCTCATTGATGTTAAATTCTATGATCCTATCGCAAATTTGGTCATTAGCCATCATAAAATCTATAACTGAACTACTTGCGCCTGCATACGTACGTTCTCCCTTCCTCCTTTGTTCTATCATTCATAATATGCTATCCGTATCAATTCTACAAAATTATTACCTCTATTATCTATCACCTTATCTTTATTACATTTCTTTTCCTTCACCCTCTAAATCCTCTCTTCCTATTTCCCCTATTCTAACATTAAAATCACCTCTTATAATTTTTCTCCATATTTTCCTCCTTAATCTTTTCCACCTATATTTCCCAAATTTTTGCCTTTTTGATCTCCATATACTGATTGACTATATTCAACTTTTTTCTCTGATACAATTATACCTTCTCACTCTTTGCTGATTAACCTATCTTTATTACTCCTCCATCCTTTTCTATTATAAAACCATCTTTTATCGTACTTCTCTCCTTTTTCTCCTTTTTAGCACAACTGCAATTCCATACATGTGTCTTTGGTAACTTATCTTTAAGAACTTCCCATCCCTTTTCATCTAACTATGACACACTTAAAAT